TTCAAACTACAGTCGTTAAACAGGAAAAGGAAATCCAATAAATGAGAGTGTTATAATAATTATAATAGTCATAAAAGATGAATTTAAAAAAATATTTTTTTAGTATCAGATCATATCAGATAAAGTGTGTTGCTATTATGCTTTCAATGTTGCAGTTAATTTGATTGTTGTTGCTTGAATTTGCAATTATGTATCTATAGAAATTAGTTTGTTAATAAAATTATTAGACTAATAGTATTAAAACCGTTTTTAGTTTAACTGTGTGTTTAATACTTTTTAGATGCACAAATAATAAAACCTATAAAAGTATAAACATTAACATTATTTTTTTATAGAAAATTCACCACACCCTTGGTATTTTTGTACTTTATTCGATAGAAAATGACACTCTGAGTAGAATGACATATCATATGTCAACTTTTGACATTTCCGCTTTAAAAAAATCGTATTTTAAATTTCAATCTAAAGTGCCATGGCTGTGTTAAAAACATTAAATCCAGTAAACCATCAAGGAGCCTTGGAAAAATAGTTTTGATCGTCTAATGTTTTTCGTGTCTTTTCCTGACCGGTTAAAAGATGTCCAAATCATATTTTTAATCATATCTCAATTTTTTCAAATGGAACCAGGGTAGCTTATTAGCATATTTAGAAAAAGCACTTTTTTACGAATAATTTGGCACCACACACTTTTTTTATTTCGAGTCATTGTCGTTATGAACCGCATGTTGCAAATGTTACAAATTGAGAAAATGTCAAAAGTTGTCATATGATATGTCATTCTATTCAGTCATTTTCTATCGAATACTGCAAAAAAAGCAGGTGTCATTTAAAGATGTGGGTGTCATTTAGAGGGCGTCATTAAAAATTAAAAGTTGTAGTAATTTCCAATAAAACAGGAAGTGGCAGAAAAGAGTTGAATACGTCAATCAATCCTAATTTATGTCATATACTAACAAACCAAATCTCGTTTTTTTATTTGAAAAAATAAAAGTTATAGGGGTGAGCCACTTTTGAGACGCATTCAGTATATATCAAACCGAATTGAAAGTAAACCGCCAAGATTGATTAAAATAACATTTTATATTAATAGATAGTTTTCACAAAAAGATAAACTGAAATTTAACCACATTATTTAAATTACGAGACAGTACATTCGCAATACCAGCAACAGTAATGTTATGTGTGTAAAGAGGAAGTATCCAGTAAACAAATTATACCACATAAATAAATATGAACGGTCCGTAAGAATAATTGGCCCAGTTATATCGACACAGCGGTTTCGGCTAAATCACCAAATCCGGGCGACTTTAGACGAGATAAGCATTGAGATGGGTGACCGTCTGACTACTCGGTTGTGCTTTAGTTTGGCAAGATTTATAATATACTAAGATGCACTGATTGTTCATTTACGAAAATTAAAACTCGGATATCTTCTGGCGGGACAAAACCTCAGAAGCGATGTTTGGGACTTAAATGAAATCTAAGAAGGTAACAAATGGTCTAATATGTAGCAACCGTAGAGCTAAATTTAGTAGATTACATTTTTGGATTTTTCCAGAAAATTGTTTGTTCATTTTTATCAAGAGTTAGACGTAATAAATATACATGTATCATCAAAAACTTCAAATTCAAAATGTTGCTTAAAGCGGCCCTCACACGATCAATAATATTGTCAATGTTTAATCAATATTTGAAAGACGGCCTGACACGGTCAATACCTTATTGTCAATACACATGGTGTCAATACATATATCAATATTAAGTTTTGTGCAGATATTAAGTGTGAATTATACCCTATGCCAAAAAATGAAAGATAAAAAGCGTGTCATTTTGGTATTTTGGCATATGCAAGTGAGAAAAAATCGAGGAAAAAAATTAAGAAAAGGCGTTGGATAAAAAAAACGGATATCAAAAATAAAAAAGTTCGGCCAACTAAAACTTCTAGAGTACGTTAAGAAACCTGATGATTGCGATCTAAAAGTGGTGTAAACAACGCCGGCGATGTTCCGTCTTCCGCCATGGTTACAAATAAACTGGACAAATTTTGTCAATCATGCGACCTAACAATCAATATATTGTCAATACGACCAGCTCCGCCTTTAATATTGTTGAGTATTTTCAGGGTCCCGAAAATCCATCAATATATTGAAAGTACATCAATATATTCGCTCAAACGCTCAATAATATTGTCAATAATCCAAAATATTGACAATATTATTGATCGTGTGAGGGCCACTTAAAATAATTTTTACCACCACTACCATTAGCACCCCATTTATCAAACAGGTTAAATTTGATAGCAGAATCATTAGCATTTGATGCAAAAATGCATTTGAGACTCTATCAATCTTCTTGAGGTATGGCCACAAGTATGGCTTAGTAATGATTGAAGATTAATCGCTGACACCTCGTCCGAAATTGTCATGCCATTTGGATAACAATTTGTCTTAGTAGTATGCTTGTAACGGGGAAGCACATCTTCAAGACTTTTTAATTTTAATGGATTCCTAAGAAGTGGGGATTAAGCTTGTGTTAATTTCAAATCCGTAAATACAGCTTCTACTGACTCTATCTCCAGTAGTTTCCGAGATACCCATAGAGAACATCGTAGGAAACTCACCCTGTATTAATACATAGTACTTATTTGTATATTTAAAAAATAATAAGTTTATAAACTTGTGACGTTTAGGACTTGCAGTTACAGCTTTAAAAATAAACAGTATTTTACTTTAGACATTTTATTGAAAAATAAACTTAAAATCATATAAAACATCATATACAATATACAGGGTTGTTCACCACTTACGACACGGAGTATTGTAAAATAGCTAAACGATTAGATTTTTACAAATTGTCAGTTTTGGGTTCGTTGAAGGACTATTAGAGATAAAATTTAAAAATATTTTTACAAGATACAGAGTGTCCCAAATATGTAAAAAATATTATAGTTGTATTTTTTAAATGGAACTCCCTGTATATTATTCTATTTTTAGATTCTACGATTAAAATAAAGGTAAATTTTATTAAGTTTTATCACACTTAAACCTTACCGTTTTTGCAATATTTTCAATTTTATGAAATTGCAGTAAAAATATTAAGGCTTCATTTCTCCAAGGGTACCAAAGTTTTTAATACTGAATATTTACTGAAGATTATTTATTGATCAGATATTGTGTTGCAATAATAATAATACAGCTTCATCGGGAGGAAAATTGCCGAATTGAATATTGGTGTCACTCACTGATTTTTTGAACTCAGTGTCTTTCGATAGAGTTTCATTTAAGGTTTTGAACGATTACAAGAGCATCCTTACTCCCACTAGCTCTAAAGATTATAGTAGTTGCAAAACCGAATTCTTCTTTTGAATGCTCTTCTATTAACTCTTTAACGAGTCTTTGTTTCGTTTTTATAATAGCCGATTGAAATTAAAGTTTTGGGGGTTAAACTTGAAATCCCTGTGACTAATAAAATGCCTTCTAGCTACGATTTATTATATTTGCGAAACATGTTTAAGGAAAAGCAATTTTTTCCACTTTCGATGTAAAACAATAAAAAATATTCGCAGCTGGGTCTCAACATCTTTCTTTTCATTGTCACTAAGAGAGTTGAGATCCAAGAATTGCATCACAACATTCCAGAAAACGGTCAATCTGGTCCTAGATATTGGTTTTAAAACACCTTTTTTCTTGAGGGCTTCAAAAAATTCTTGGCGGCTGAACCGGTGCGAGACACCTAAAAATTATGTTTTTTTTCTGCAGTCGGGCGACGGGCGTCCATAGACGGGCGGTAAAAATAAATTGCTTACTACTTTTTGGTAACTATCGGTAACTCAAAAGATCTACCTCATTCAATATATCAATATTTGAAAAAAAAGTGGAAGTTTGATATCTGCAGAACAAAGGCACGAAGGATTTTAACAAATAATATAAGGGCAGTATAATATAATAAATATAGAGAATATATACAACCAAAAAATAATTGTTGCATTTTTATATCAATAATTGGATTGTCTACTATTTATTCTTATCAGTGCACGTTTTTTGGCTTATTTCTAACAAAACGGTTTTGTCCTGTTAGAATTACCATCCGCCGTATCGTGTGGCGGATTTGATTCTGTAGGGGCGGCAAACTTTCTCTCTGCCCCCACGCTACGCCGCTGTATGAAACCAAAATTTTAAATCGATATAAAATAAAAACTGAAAAAATAAATCGGTGGTAAACGGGTGGATACATGACAATGGCTCTTTGTGTGTCATTTTAATGAACTTTCTGACATTTTTTAGATGTCGTATGTCAAAATCTTGCTTGGCTCATTGGACAAACTTTACCTTCTGTCATATATGCCATGAGCCCTTAGTAGTATTAAATTTCTTGAGGTTTAATAATGTTTTAGGACCATTTATAAAAAATAATAATTATATATACATACTTCGTCATGATAAATATCCAACATGCATTCAAGGAGTTCAATTTGGGTCATTTTGACGTACTCTTAAAAACGTTTGAATATGAATTTTTAAATCGTTTTTATCGTTTAATCTCCTTTAAATTATTGTCTAATTCAAAGGTTAATTCACCAATTGTAGTGTTCCAATAGTAATTGTACTATTGTTACGTTTTTCGTCGGTTCCGTGTGGCTAAAAAGTCTAATTTATTTAAACACAATTTATTTTACACTAAGTAACAAAACAATAACGATAAAACACTTAAAGAACTATTTACAAACTTATTTACTACTATTTATCTAAAAAGCGATTTATTTGAATTTATTTTAAAAGGCGCGAGCACGACTACCGTATCTGATTGTTTCTGTCCTCTTTGCACAGGCCTCGGTTTATATACCCAAAGACAGAGAGCCTAGAATATTTCGGTCTTTTCTTAGCCGCCGTTCTCCCCGAATTCCGCCAGGGTAAAATAGGGGCGTGGCATATTAGTCCGAGGGCTGAGTCCGCAACACTATAATAGCATTTTAATTTCTTTGTAATTCTTTTATTTTCTAGATATAAACGAGAAAAAATAGATCCCAAACCCTATTTTTGGTATAACGATCAAAGAACTTATGGTACTTGCCCGCATGGAGGATATGGATTGGGTTTAGAAAGATTTCTCTGTTGGTTGTTGAACAGATATCATATCAGAGAAGTGTGTCTCTATCCTAGATATCTTCATCATTGTAAACCATAAAACTGTTTTATGTTTCAAAAGGATAATACCCTATAAAATATATATTAAATTTTTATAAAACGCATAAAAATATATATCTGCTGTATCATCATTATTATAATATACTTAAAACATGTATTTACCTCCCCCCCCCCAAGTATATTTAAATATAAATATATTCTCCTTTTTGCTGCTAAAACAAGGAGTTTTATTTTCCCTATTTTTACTCCAATTTCATAACAAATAACATAGGGTTTAACCACAAATGAGCCCAAGTGAAGAATTTCAAAAAACACCAGGTACGTGGTGTTATTTGAACTATTTGTTTTTCATACTAAGTGTCAGTTTTTCCCATGGCCTAAGTCTGTCTAAATCAATGACTAAAGAATTCAAGGACAAATAACACCCAAGAGCAAATTGTTACCATGGCACCAAACAGTGCCGTGGCCATATTTTTTTCTTAACTTAGCTATTTGAAGGGATATTTATATTTTTGATAAATGTTTTGACTACGCCTATGGTGTAGGTGGTGGCATCATACTAATTAATTACGAAAAAAACGTTTTAAAATGTTAACAAAAGGTACAAAACAAGTATAGACATATAGCACACATCAAGTACGTATATCAGAAAAATAATTATCGAATTCTATAAGAAAACTTAAGAAAACGCTAAAAAGGTGGAGCGAACGGTTTATTTACCTATGAAACGTAACTCCTGGCTCTTTCTTGTCACTGCTGCTTTTACATTTGAAAGCTGAACCACTAATCAGCATTGTAATAAAGTTTATACAAAGTTCACTACACACAAACTAATAAAAATTGCTAAAATTGTTGTTGGTGACCAGCTGATGACTCATTGTTTGCCACCAAATGAAAAGGCGTCTAAGGTCACAAATTCTCCTGCAGCCCGTATATGGGCGTTACATGTCCATATATTCTTTAGTCATTGGTCTAAATGGAGGATCCCTGACTGACAGTTATGTCTATCATTTTAATTAACAGGCAAGTTCTATTTTCCAACATTGGACCAAGCTTTCTAAAGTTTCAAATAACAATTTTTAAAAAAATGAAATGTAAAGTATAAACATTTTTTGATTTGTTAAAATAATTTATTGCCTTAATGATTATTAGTTACAGATCGCAATGTTTTAATTATACCATTTAAAATATCTATAGATTCTAAATGTAAGGGATTATTCTTATCTAGTTGTTGATACAAATTATTTACAGAGGTACTAAACATTGTAAATTCTGGAGTACTTTCCTGCAACCAAATTCTAGGTACAACTTGACTAATCAGTCTAACTTTTTGAACCGCATCGGTCAATACACAAAATTTTAATGCACTTAATAAATATCTGTTTAGTAATGCGTTTAAAGCTAATTCTTTCAATTTGTTATCATTAATGATGCCTTGCCAGCTAGTGATATTTTTTAATAATTTTAAACCACTTGCAAACTGTCTTTGAAAGAATTGGTTCTTACTGTCGGCTAATTTGGGAGTAATTGGAATATAAACATCATTTTCTAAAGCCACCTGCATTTTATGCAGAATAGCATTAAAAAGGTTAGTCAAACTTTTACTGCTTGGTCCAAGAGTGGGATATTTCCTAATATATCTACCCACCATACCAACTAACCTTAAAGTTTGTGAACTTGAAACAGGGTCCCAACATTTGTCAACTAACTGTGTTAATTTTGGTAATAATACTTTCTCAATTACAGTTGGTAACAAGTTTATATCTGGATCTTTAGATAGACTTTTTTCAGATTCATCATCGTGCAGTCCATAAAGTGCCAAGGTTCTGTACCACTCAGTTTTTTCAATGTCTTTAGTTTCATTTAAAGGATCCCAAAAAATTAAGTTAAGTCTTATCAGAGGGCTTACTACTTTTGGTAAACACAAAGTGGCATAAGCTTCATTATACGCAGACATATCTTTTGTTCTCCAGTGTTCAAACCTAATAAGAATACTAGCTGTTGAAGAATAGTCCTCGACAACATCTTCAAAAATTTCTTGTAATTCTTGATCGATTTCTTGTTTCTCTTTATCAAAGAAGAGTAAATCTTGTTGAGACATTTCTTCATCGCTTGACATTCCCTCCACATGCTTTGCAATATTCTGTGTATTTGGCAATTCCCTGGCTCGTCGGCGTCTTGTTCTTCTGCCCTCTCTTTCAGCAGCTCTTCTGACTTTTTCTTCATCTTCTGGACCTTTTTTTAATAATGCTTTACCAGTTGCTTCTTCTGTTTGATCCCTAACATCTTGTCTTCTCCTTTCAATTAACCATTTAGATTTAGATGCCATTAGATCCATTGCTCTTTGTTCTAATACAGTAATAGCACTAATTTTTTCATCTAAGCATTCAACTAAATCTGTAATATATCCTCTTAATTCTTGATAAAACCTGAATTTTTCTGCTGCTTCTGGAGCTTTTATTTTTAAATCCTCTAATTCTTCATTGGCTTCATCTATGTCATCTTGAACTTTTTTTAATTTCACCAAATTCTGTTCTCTAGAGTTACAGACTTCCTTAAAATGTTCTCTCAACTTTTCTGCTATCATTTCAGGTGTTCTTGGAACTTCAGGGTCAATTATGGGGACTTGTTGTTTCGATAAAGAAAGACTCTGAACTTGTAGTTCTGTTTGGTACTCATTCATAAGCTCTTGTGCTGCTGTCATTGATGCACCTATTAAGTACAATAAGAATAACAGGTAAAAATACATATAAAACAATATAAGAAGACTAAAACAAAATTTTTATTATTCCTACTAATATCAATTACCTGTAACTCCTTTTCTAATTTGTTGATCTTCCCATTCATCAAGTTCATGATCTGAATCTTGTGCTGCTAAAAATTGTTCTCTCCTTCTTTCTTTATCTCGTCTAGCTAGATTAACGTCCATATCAATTCTTTCATCATCACTATGCTCATTATCATCATCTCTTACCAAGCGCCCTAAAATAATATTAATATAAAATTCAAATACATATATTACTTATTTTAATATTAACCTGTATCTTCAGGTTCTTCATCTTCAACAGATATAAAGTCTCCCATTTCTCTAGCCTTTTGTCTTTTCTTTCTAGCAGCATGAATCATGGCTGCATCTGGTATTGCTCCTGCTTCCAAAACTCTTCTTACATTATCTGGTTTTGAAAACCTATGAACTGTTGAAGCAGAATCTTCCTCATCGGAAGATAAGTCATTCTTGCCTGTGAAAATAATTTTAAACAATTATATTATGGTTACTTTATTACAACAATAGTAATATTTAGTGTATAGTAGTGTATTATCACAATAAGGTCTTACCTGCACATAATGCATCTCTTCCACTCAATATTGGAGGTGGAGGAGTAGGTGGTCTCTTGTGGCTAGGATTAACAACAAGAATTATATCATCTGTAACTACTTCAGTTTTTTCTTTAGGTTTATATTCTTCTTTCTCAACTTTTTCCTTGTCCTTCTTCTTTTTCTCTTTTTCAAACATTCGCATAACCTTTTTATTATGTGAAGATTTTTTAATCTAATAAAATATTACGATCATTATTATTAAAAGAAACAATATATCATGCGTACAAAAACATGCCTGGAATACTTCTCCTTCTTCTTCAGTTTCAAAACTCAATAATGTTTGGGGTGGCTTTTTCTCTTTTTCTTTCTTCTTTGATTTCCTTTCGAATTGTGGAAGTTCTTGGTAATCCATAGGTTCAGATTCATCTTCATCATCGTTTTCTGTAAATACTCTTCTTTGTATGAGATTCTTTTTCGGTTTCCTAAATAATGACATTATTATATTTATTTATTAACAAAATGGCAGGAAAGAGGAAAGGAAAAGAGATTTTAGGTTAACTTTTATTGACACATCAATAATGACACTTTTTATGACATAAGACAAGATTTTGTGACAAGATTCATATATAATTTAAATAAGAATTTAAAGGTGTTTTGTTTTAAATTAGTTTAAAATCAAATGTTAAGTATAAGTTTTGTGTAAATAATGTACTATATATGTGGACAATCTGTTTATAAAGAATTGAATTAAAAAAAAAAACAAACTTAGTACCTTTCTGTTTATAAAGTTTCTTAAATAGCAAATTTGTTTCTACTTACCGTTCTCTGCTTTTGTTTGTAAACAAACGTCTTCTGATAAGCCTTTTGCGTTTTTTCTTTTCTCTTTCTTTTAATAATAATGCACAACCCATTAATATGACCGCTGCGGCCGCAATAATAACATTTCTATCACTCATTCTTAAAAAACAGGAGTAGGATCCACGAGCAGATCATTTACCAAGCAAACCTAGAAACATCTTAGCATCATCCTAGGAATGTATTGAATGTTGTTGAATGTATGTGCGATGTGCGATTCACGAAAGAAGACGATTTTTTATCCTTAGAACAGAATATTTTTCGGTAATGGTGTGGATCCGGTGGCTGACCTTGAAACGAGTTTTTGCTGCATATAGTCACAGACACTACGCAGACGCACATCTTCGATATTGCCAGATTGCAAGTTATTTTGGAATTATTTTCAGTAGAAAACAAATATGTGCTTTTCAGTGTTTTTTGTCAATATATACCGTATGATCGAAAAAACGGCGTCCAGTTGGCTGAGAAATGACGATTGAGGACATTTCCCATATAAAATGACAGCGATCTTCATTTTATAGTCATCGCTGACGCTATTTTTTTTTGAATCATAGTACGCCGTATATTATTTATATTATTATTTTAATATTTCGCACAACACGTGAACGCTTATTATGTATTTTCATAGTCAATAAAATTAAATAGAAATAAAACTCTAGATTCCCATAATTAATCTAATTGCTCTAGATTATTATGCTACGTTTAAAAAGTGCTTCATTAAAAATTCGGATATGTCCTTTGGATATGTCCAAGTTTTTTCTTTTTTTTTAATTTTTAAATGCTGTAGCTCCATATCATGTTCATAATAGGTTTTTTTAACAGTCCATCAAAACTACGGAGGCTTTAAAAGGCCTTTTAGCGTCCGTAATTAAAATTATAGAATCAGCTTCAGCAACATTAACAGTTACCTTGTTTAATTCTGCTATACATATATTGCATTAATTTTCTGCTACCTTCGGTAGCAATCTATTCTTACACCTAACGTATGTGATTTTCTTAGCATATATGATTTATAAGCCATATTTTTCCTAAGGGAAGGATGGAATAGGATATGCAAAATTAAGATATTTTAACATTTATTTTCCAGACAAAGCATAATATAGTATTAAGATTAAGACATAACAAATATTATAAGAAAGATCTTAATATAAATCACAAACTAACTAAGTCTTAATTTGGTCTTGTAGTCTTGTATAAACATAGGTATAAAACTAATAAGATCAAAACTCAACCTTCACCATATTGTCAAGATTTGGCATTTTAGGAAACAAGAAATTACAGTAAATTAAGAAAAGAATATCAAGGTACACGATATTAAATACTGTAATGTATTCTACGACACAAACCATCTCCCTTCTAAAGAGAAAAAGATAAAACATAAAGCTTATTCAGCTTATTTTAGTCTTATCAACACACTCTTCGACAAAATATTTGTCTAAAATTGCTATTAATCCACTAACTTGATATTTTTAAGAAATTATGATACAAACATTATAATCAAAGTAGGTAAAATGTTACCTTTATCTCCCATTGACGTGTATTGTTCTATAAGACTCGTCATGGTAGTACTTTAATACATATAACCAAAACTATTGTTGCCTGTAAATAACTTAGATTAACAATAAAAAGTAAATAACTAGAAATTAAACAACTTGGATGTGTAAAACTTGGAAAATAAGTTCGTCATAATAATGCTTTTATTTATTCACTATTCTAATAAACAATATGCATTCCTTCGGAAACTCTCTATTTATTTATCTAGTAATGCTAGTTATGACAGTCGAAATACACAGATACACTTCTCACGGACGACATCCGCAGGATGCACCTGCACTTTTGCCTGGGAATCTGCAATTCAGCAGTTTGCCATAAGAAGAGGTTTCTTCACAAATCAATGTAGATTTTAGTTTTAGTTCTTGTCTAGCTATTGTACTTATAACATTCAATTGCTGTTCCGTAAAATAAATTTAAGTTTATTCCAAAATTTGTGTTTTTAAAAATACATCTTTCTGGGACTGAAACGTAACTTGCTAAAACACTCTATTTGAAAGTCGATTAGAGAAAATAGTATGATTCATTGGCAAGCGATGTAAATATTTGTGATCAGGTAAAATTGTGATGTAAGAGGAGGCTTAGCTTGGCGGCGCGTGGCAGGTTAGTCAGTTGTTGATAGGCCGGCCGGCTGTGTAGTGTTGTGTTTTTGTCACAGAGCTGACAAATGGTGGTTGCGAGTTTTTTGACTAATATAGTTGCAAGTCGTTTGACTGTAAGCCAACGGGGTCGTTTGACCACGGTAAGAAAACCTCTTGTGACGTCCTGCCATCGAATTGGTCTTGAGAGTTTGAGGTCTCCATAATGTCTTCTCGATTGACGATGCGGCGTTGGGATAGTGAGCTATCCAATAGCTTATTCGATTGGGATGCGAATCTGTTTAGCGGCAGAGTTGCGGCCGGGGGAAGCCCCTATACTATTTCAGGTGACACTAGCTAGTTGTTGAAGATTATTAACCAATAGATCCGAATAATATTTGAATTAGATGGAAGATATGGAATGTGATATATTGAATAGAATATCAGTGATGTTAGTGGCTAGGGGGCGGAGTACCCCCGGGTGAGTCTTACTATTTAACTATCAATTTTATCCAGATCAGTAAATGTTTGTTTTGTTATTTTCATGTACAATGAGAGAGTGCTTGCCAATGACCAACTAAATGGATATTTGAGGTGAATTTGCATTGTGAGACTCGGTTGAGTAAGCCCCAAAAATAGCGATTTTACAGATGTAATAAATAATGTGTCATATTGATGATACAACATAATTCTTATAAGTTTAAAGTAGGATTTATAAACTCACAGTTGGATTTGGCTTTGGCGTTGGCGCCGCCGCCCAATTCTTAAAACTGTATATTACCATAAGAGCATTTATAAACCCGGTTGGCGTTGGCTTTGGCGCCCGGTTGCCGTCGGACTTGAATTATGTTTAACTTTTTAAAACCATTAAGAAAAAATCTGTAAATAATAATTTTTAATTCTAATGTAAATATATAAATACATATGTTATTATTATTACAGTTATTTTATATACTCATAATACTTTCATTTAATTTTGGATATCAAGATAAGTCTCAAATTATAAAGTTAATTATAGAATTTGTGCTGCTGTGAAAAATTTTGAGCTGCAAAGAATTCGAAAATAAACTGCAATTTGGCAACATCGACGATGTGCGCTTGCGTAGTATCGATGATCAAATGCAGCAAATATGGGCTTCAAGGTCAGCCACCGGATCCACACCTTTACCGAAAAAGACATGCGACATGCGAAAGCGGAACCCAAAACCGTGTGAAATGGTGAAAATGGTCACTGACTCTGTCACTGGTCACTAGTCACAGTCGTCACTGGCATGGTCACCCATGGAGGGTAGGTCACTCCAAAAAGTAATAATAATCATACATACAAGTTTTATGGCCTAAGCTGCCAGGGCTATTCGGCAATCATACATAAAATAATAAGTATATATGATAATTCTTCTTACATATTTAGTCTTTATCATACGATCACATATAGAGATATAAAGTAGGCATCCTTGCTTGATCACAATGATCACATCATGATCACATGCGATAGTACGATAGTACGATAGCCGCGGATAAAGAGTAGTCTTGTCTTATGAGTTTCTATGGTCATCGTTGCTCAACAGTCAGGCCAGCTTCCCAATGGAAAATGGGTTAGCCTTGGCAGTTGTGGCCGAAGAAAAAAAGAGAAAAAAGTTACTTTAACCTTATTTTATTTATCCAGTAACTTTAAATTCAAATGATTCAAATATTTAGAAACAATGAAATCAATCAAACATTTTTAATAAAACATACAGGAACATTGATATGAGAAGAGTGAAGGAAAGCAAATATTGTCGAATTATTTTTGCTGCTTTATTTTCTTTTCTTCTAGGATGCATGATAACATTAAATCTTACCCCCATTGATAAAACCTGCATTGTAGATAATACAGATCGAGAATACAATATTATGCAAAACTCCAAGCTTAAAAATCCTGAAGTAATTGTATTAATTTTATCTGCTGTAAAGAATTCAGATAGGCGAAATATTATCAGAGAAACTTGGTTAACTTTAGGCAACAATGTTTTAGGCAGTGGAATTAAATATAGATATAAGCATTATTTTGTCATTGGAAGCTTAGGACTTTCAAATGATGAGATTTTACACATAAGTACAGAGCAGTCTCAGAACAGTGATATACTAATACTACCGTTATATGATAATTACAAGAATTTAACAGAAAAAGTACTTAAAAGTTTTGAATGGCTCAATTTACAATACGATTATGGATTAGGATACAAATACGTTTTAAAATGCGATGATGATAGTGTCGTTAATTTGCAGTCTTTGTTGGTGGAAATACCAAAGTTGGAGTCTACATTAATAAATTCAAATTTACATTATCCGTTAAATTTACCACCAGAAAAACTAAATCATTTTATTACAACAAACATTCAAAGTAATGAAAAAATTAACACTGTTAATATTGAGAATATGAGCATATATTGGGGATATTTTCATGGAAATGCTAGAATTAAAAGAAACGGAAAATGGCAAGAAAGTGAATGGATTTTATGTGACAATTATGTGCCATATGCTTTAGGGGGAGGCTACATATTGTCAAGAAATCTTGTTAGCTATATTGGCAAAAACGTTAATTACTTACGGTACTTATGAGTCCATAAAATTCTAATTTATAATTTATTTCTATTTCTTTTTAAGGACATTTAAATCGGAAGATGTAAGTGTGGGCTTGTGGTTATCAGCTATAAATAATATTATTAGGGTGCACGATATTAGATTTGATACAGAATGGACTTCAAGAGGATGTAAGAACTATTACCTAGTCACTCATCATATTTCACCCACAGAAACCAAATTTATGTTTGAGAGTCTTGTTAATAATAAACAGCTTTGTGTCAGAGAGGTAGAGAAGAGAAAATATTATTTGTATAATTGGTCAGCACTTCCAAGTGAATGTTGCGTTATGGTTAATTAATTTTTAACTTAAATATAATTTATTTATTTATTTAAAGATAATTGAAGTTCAATAAAATATGACTAATTAGTCTTATTACTCTTATTGCTGCATTTCTTTGTCACTTTCAGGATAGTTAGGATAGTATGCTCTTCAAAATGAATTTATTTCTTAACTAAAATTTTCTGAAATACAGAGTGATCTCTAATTTGGAGCACATTCAATTTCATATTTGTTTGATCTATATAACCTAAAGCCTAATAGCACAGAATAGCTATTATATCCTGTGCTAATAGGCAGGGCCTGAAGAAGCGACAGTAAAGTCGCGAAACGTCGCAAAAAACAATTGTTTCCATTTGAGCCTTCCCAAATACCCACGATTTTTTTCTACAGATTACTGGGAACAAACAGTAATTGCAATAAAAATAGATGTTTCAAATAGCATTTATTTGACAAAGAGCAGTCTAACTTGTTAATTAATCACCTAGATAATAATTGATTTAATAAAATGGAACAGAAATATATTTATGTAGGTAAACTTGTTTCTCTTTTTGCTGTTACTGAAATTTGATGATCCTGTCCTTGCATCTCTATACTCTATGTGAAGAAATGGCTATAAATAAATAATACTCCTAAAACTGCAAAAACCTTTATTAATTAATAACTTAATAAACATAAAATTATAATTACATAAAATTAAATCTCCCTTTTCTGTCTTCAGCCACACTGAAATGTAGATTTTTTTCGTAAAAGTGGTTACAGAAATAAAATTGTGGTGTGTTCATAAGTATAAAAAAATATTTATGGATGAGAATATTAAGTTAAAAAATATTAACTCCAAATAAAACACCGTAAAAACTAATAGGAAAGATAAATAGAATTTACAAACATTACCTATAAATTACAAACTTATTGTTAAAATTTAGTACAAATTGTAGGGTATAAAAAACCTACGTTATTAATAATACACGACAATATTAAATTACAAATAATATAGATACAAAACTATCTTTAATTCAGTCTTGTAAAATTGTGCTAATTTGGACAACTTATTAGGTAGTAAAGTCTGTTCAACGAATCAGGGAAGAGTTGGGGAAGAGTATGACAATAAAATTTGCCTGTGAATTAAAATGCATATAAAATGATAGACATAACTGTCACTGTGAGGGATCGTCTCGTTGGACAGATTATAGTTTTAGTAATCAATCAGGATTTACAAAACTAGTTGGTCATTACCATATGAGCATATTAAAAAACGACGTCACGGTGACCAGTGACTTACATCGTTTATTAAAAAGTAATAATATGTCAAAAATTCAAAAACTGATATTTAATTTAGAAAAAAGTAAAGTTTTCGGAATCATTTACAAATCTCTATATGTCTATTCACCAAAAGAATATATGGCAATGACAGAGTTGTCTATCATTTTAATTCAAAGGTAAAAAGTTTGTTTACTGTTAATGTTTGGATGTCATCTGAAGAAATGCACTCTTCAACCTTGACTCTTCTCGCGCTATACAGTGTGTTTCTGAATAAGTGTCCGATGTTTTACAGGATGATTTTTCCAGTATTTTTAAGATAAAAAATTCATATAAACGTGTTCAAAAATGCTTGGTTTTCGAGATACAGGGTGTCAAAATTTTAGGAAAAAGAAGATTTTTTTTTCGTATCTTCGGAAACCCTTCTGATATTTTAGAAAATTCGGTACACGTCGTTTCGCCACTAAGAGGCATTTTTCGATAAAAACTATTTTCTCAAATTTTTGGCGTTCGGACGAAAAAAGACCAAAAACAAATTTTACATCAAAAACACGACCATATCAGAATACGCTCCATTAGTGGTGACGTCATATTGCGGAAGGTCAGTGTCGCAAAATCTAAACAAAGCATGAATTAACCCGTTTTTTTTTCTCGTTTATTATATTACTGTTTTCTTAAGGATAATTGTATTTTTCCAAGTAAGTACATTTAATTTTGAACCGTACCAGTGCACTTTATAGTTAATAAATTCTATAATACTATGAAAATTCGTGTTCTTTATTGTTTTAACATAACCTCATATTACTTATCCCTATATGTATCCTTTTATGTAATTATACCTATAGTAAACGCTTATATACTTACTCAGAAAGACACAAATATCTTTTGAACAGAGTTATATAATAAAAAATTAAGAAAAATTAGATTATCCCATTATATTCTTGCTTTGTTTGGATTTTGCGACACTGACCTTCTGCTACATGACGTCACACTAATGGAGCGTATTTCGCAACAGATGCATCAGACAATAAAACAAGAGATATAATTTGTTCTAAAAATTATTTATTTTAGTCGATACGCCGTACGAACGCTCACTAGTGAAAATTTTAGAAAATATTTTTCATCGAAAAATGCCTCCTTAATCCGGCAAAAATGTGTACTAAATTCTACAGGGTGTTTCAAAAAACGTGCCATCTCTCGTGGGGAGATTCCTCACGTATTTTCTTCCAAGTACTTTTAGTGGTTCAAATGAAATTTTGAGGGTAAAAGTTAAAATATATACATAAATGACCTAAATACAAAATATTTTTATGGTGTCTGTCTGTCTGCCGTCTATAACACGATAACTCAAAAACCGTTCAATCGATTTTAACCAAATTTGGCACAAAAATACTGTGGCACCCGAGAATCTGGCCATTAGTTTTTGGTAGGGGTGGGGGTTGGTAAGGGGGTATGGGAAGGGGTTAAAAATTTTAAAAAATCGTAACTCCAAAATTACAGTAGCTAGCGAAATGCGGTTTTCAAATTAAGATTAGGAATAATATTTGCAACAAAATTTGTAATAACATAAAAATCAGTTAAAGTCGCAGTTTTCGAGATATTAACATATTTTAGTATGGACGGCTATACGTGCCTCCCGGCGCCAATTTTTTCTTTTGATATCAAAATTGAGTAGACCGTTTAATGCCAATTAAAAGTTATTTCATGAAATTTTGTCGAATTCGACCTCCTTGATGAGATAAACGCAATTTTATTAATCACAATTAATAAAATTAAAATAAAATTAATAAATTATATATTTTACCTAATTTATTATTAAATATTATTACTATTAGTTATTATTAGTATTAGTCCAACCTACAGAAATTTCAAATAAAAAATTAATGTAGGTATCTGTGTCTAACAAAGGAATGCGGACAAAAAACATTTAAATAAACAGCAATATATTTTATACGTCGACTTGACGAGTACGTCACCGCAAATCGCTCCGCCCACTCATTTTATTAGCCACTTGCAAATTTGTCGAATTTTTATTGATTGGACGCGTCGTCTAATTTTTTACGAAAAACATCGAGAGAATATCGTTTCCCCTCTCACGGATACCCCGTAGCTACAGAACGGACAGACGTACTGTATTTAAGATAATCACAAAAAAAAAATTAAAAAGTTTTAGAGATGGCATATGCTTTTTGAATCAAACACCCTGTATATAAAAACATCTGGAGTAGGTCCGAAGATATTACGAAAAATCAAAGCTAAAAACCGATTTTTTTCAAAATTTTGGCACCCTGTATCTCGAAAACAAAGCATTTTAGAAGAACGTCAACGATTTCTTGTAGACGTATCTGTTTTAAAAAGTAAAGTGTTCTCGAATAGTTCAATTTAAATATTTTAAATAGTTTTTTTTTCTTGATTCTTTATATTTTTTTGCTTCCGACGACGGAAAGAGAAAACTTTCCGAAACGTTAAGCATTTTTTTTCTTTGTTAGGCAAATTTTTATTACTGTAAACATAACTTCTGACAAGCAGCGTCCGTTTAGGTTTAACGTAGAAGTGTTAACAAAAAATAACTATTTTATTTTGTAGATTTTTCTTGCAGTGCAGTGGCGAAAAACCCATAAGGATTTTTTTGGAAAGAACACATTTATCTGAAGCCAAACAGCTCTGGCAGCTAAAGCCGTTAAACTAAAGTACTACTATATATATTTATATGAACTTTTTAACTTATAAATATTTAAAAAATCACCCTGTGAAATATCGGACAATAATTAGAAACACTCTGTATAGACTTTTTACTCTCTTCATTTAAATTAATTTTTGACAAAAGTTTTTTACTTCAATTTTTAATAAACGATATATCCGACCTAAATTACCGATTATCATTTCAAAGACCACTGTGACGTCTCTTTTTTTCGACCCTAACTTAAAAAATATTTTGCCCATAAACGAAATACTGGAACCTGATTAAAGATAATAAATAAAACATATAGTAACACTGGCTGCAAAATCACAAACTTACTATACAAATATATAGATAGAAAAAACGCAAAAAAATAAAAATAAATAATTAAATTATTAAAGTTTCGTCCTTAGGATCCCACTGCGATTTTTTACTTTTGCCCGTTTTCATACCTCTAGGCGGTGTGTTTTCGCACTGGACCTTAATTTTTTTCTCCTTAAAAACGGGAATTTTGCTAGAACCGTTCTCGACTTTGCGTGGCTTATCGCTAACTTTTAATTTTATCGCGTGGTTTTTGTCCTGGTTCCCGTTCCGCACTCCCAACGGTATTCTAACATGTTCCTTCATTTGTACAATTCTAGGACACACTACTAAATCCTCATCTTCATAAATCAGGTTTGTCAACTTTTTATCTAATTCTTTGGCATCTGCCGTGAGATCGATGATCGGTGGTGATACAGGCTGCGATTTCGATTTCCTAGGTGTGATAGGGTTCTCGTGTGGTGGTGTGATCGGTGCCGATTTCACACACTTCGGTTCTTCAATGTTAAATATATAATTTTCATCAGACGTTGCCACGACTTCATTATCAGGAGATTCAGGACTAATTTCTGTGGCGTATTCACAAGAATCAATGTTGTTTGAATTAGTTTCAACATTTAAGACATTGTTTTCTAGAGGATTACATTCTAAACTTTCAATTTCAGGTACAAGAAGAGACATTCCTATTTCTAATAAATCATCAACTGAGCTGCTGCTTTCTAAAATATTCTCTGGTGTTTCTATATTCTCCGATACTTCAATATCCTCAGAAGTTGATGTTTGGTTTTCTTTACTATGTACATTATCATCTACAGCTTTATGACTGGCTTCAACTTCTTCTGTAGTCTTTGGTAGTAGTAATGGTGTTCTTATAAAATCTATAGTTGGTGATCTAGGATCGTTGACGATGACACTTGAAGGGTCGTTGCAAGTATCTACAATAGCAATAATGAAAATAATTAGCATTTATTAATACAAACACACAAATCGTCTTACATATCACGAAGTGGCGTAACTAATTTTTTATATTTTTCAGGAGAGTGGTTTCAAGTCAATACTAACCAAAATATATTGAAGCCACTGTGTTTCTTTTTGTTAAAGAAACACGATGACTACAATAATATATTTTGGTTGGCATTGAAACCAAAGTAGTAAAAAGCTTATAAAAAAATGTCAAAAAACACCCGAAAAATATAAAAAAATGAGCTACTTGATATCTACTGGCGCGTTCTCACGACTCGTGTACCGGGTGGCCCACTAAGAATGGACGCCAGCTGTATCTCAGAAACTACTTATCGTATAACTTTGGGAAAAAAATTCTAAAAAGTAAATGGACTAAGAGAAATCGCTGGAAATTATTTTCAAGTTCGAAAAATGTCCGCTAGGGGGCGTTTCTCTGATATCCAATCAGAAAACAGGGGTTTTCTCAAAAATATGCAGGTGAACAGGTATTTTAAATATCACTATTGTAATCATCGAGAAATTTGTATTTTTGATATAGAGTATTTTGCTCTATCTCATAAAAGAAAATGGTGGGGGAAGGTTAAACTTGCTTTTATTAAAATAAAGATAACTCTGGTTTAGGTTAGCCGATTTAAAGAAACTAGGGCTTGTTTAAAAGAGCTTTTCTTCCTTAATGATCTCGAGTACAAATTTTGTTTTCATATTTTTTTTTCGTGGTAGCTAGAGAGCGCTGTTTGACATCATAACAAATATTGCGCTTTTGCATACAAAATTTAAATAGGAGGCTATATTTTTCTTTACACAGTAAAATAGAGCACAAAATTTCCAAAATATGAGCACAAACTGCAACTTTCTATCTTCTCTCTAACGGGAGATATTAAAAAAATAAATCATATTAGGCTGTAGCCTAGTATTATAAGGTCTAAAAATTATAGTAGTAGGCTAGGAAACAAAAAGGGGTAAATTGGTTACGTCAAAATATCAAAACATATATTTTAATTTCATTTTAATATCGTTTAATAGTTATTTATCCATGTTCGTTCTTGATTCGACCCCATAAATTAAAACCCAGCCATATTGAATCCGATGACATCGCCGATGACCTAGCTGGCCATGGAAATATGCCTCTCCAGGGTCTCTATCTACTAAAATAAGTGGTATCCAAGAAGCACCACACATTCACAGCAAATTAAGCGGCACAACTGCACCAACTGCATCAACTACATTCATGCTGATCAAATTGCAACAAATGCAATTTCATCCCCTAATGACGGATCCCCTAACGAAGTTAGCAATTTATCTCTTACAAATTAGGGATAGTTCATTTCATTCAGATAATTAAAAAAGTCCAATCATTCGCCATCCTAGAATTCCTGCCTAAACATTTACCGACCAACGGTCTTGGTGCTGAACTACTTGCATTAAGGATAGATTTGGACCAGTAGTGCATATTAAGATTCGCACCTGTGCTATATGAAAAGCTACCCAAACGACATAAACTTTATAACATAATAATAAATAACACAAACAACAGATAAACCACGAAAACAAGTGAAAACAAGGATGAATTTGGTTTAATAACTAAATGACGTTACATGAAATAAACTCCTAGTTTTCGGCTATACGAAATTCGGCCGTTTTCCGTTAAAAAAAATATGGCGGCACATAATTCCTAGAAATTTTAATAAAATTATTGATTGTCCGACTTTCGGACATCTTAATCTAAGAACTACCTACGTATAATTAACAAAAAAATTCGTAAAAATTATAGGGATGGACGATAATGTTACATAAACACATTTAAAAATTTATAACGTCATTTTTTTTTAAAACGCCCGAAATTCGGATGCATGAAAACTTAACTTAAACGTTTTGATATTTTGACGTAATCAATTTACCTCTTTTTGTTTCCTAGCCTACTACTATAATTTTTAGACCTTATAGGCGACAGCCTAATATGATTTAATTTCTTAATATCTCCCGTTAGAGAGAAGATAGAAAATTGCGGTTTGCGCTAATATTTTGGAAATTTTGTGCTCTATTTAACGGTACAAAGAAAAATATAGCCTCCTATTTAATTTTTTTATGCAAAATTGCGCTTTTCTATCTATCTCTATCTATTTGGTTTGGTTTGATTTCTCTAGCTATCACAAAAAAAATATGGAAACAAAATTTATACTGGAGATCATTAAGGAAGAAAAGCTCTTTTAAACGAGCCCCAGTTTGTTTAAATCGGCTAACCTAAACCAGAGTTATCCTTATTTTAATAAAAGCAAATTTAACCTTCCCCCACCACTTTATTTTATGAGATAGAGCAAAATACTCTATATCAAAAAAAATACAAATTTCTCGATGATTACAACAGTAATATTTAAAAAACCTGTTCACCTGCATATTTTTGAGAAAAACTCTGTTTTATGAGTGGCTGTCAGAGAAACGCCCCCTAGCGGACATTTTTCAAACTTGAAAATAATTTCCAGCGATTTCTCTTGGTCGATTTACTTATTAGAATTTTTTCCAAAGTATACGATAAGTAGTTTCTGAGGTACAGCCGGCGTCTCCATTCTTAGTTGGCCATCCGGTACTTGGCAAGTATTTTTTATTGGCCTACAGGGTCTGGCGGGAGTGCGGCGTAGTTCCTATAATAAATAACTTAGAAATTCTGTATAGATGCCCGACGCACCGTGTATAACCTGTATACTAATTACAAATGTTTGTCAAGTACGCGAGTCTTGAGAATGCGCCTTATGACGAAATAAGTAATATGGTTTTCCAACTTGATAGTCGAGATAAACTTGGTAAAGCTTCGTCTACACATACCTAACGTTTCACCCTACGTTAAGTGACGGCAGTTTCCTAGACAGTCTTCCGTCTTAGCCCTGTCTAGGCATGACGTTTTAATCGTCAGTAAAAAAGGTCAGGTAAGACGGATTAAAGACTAGCGTATATTCTAGAAGTGTTACTGACGGTTTTAGATCGGTTTTTAGTAATGACCATAAAGGAGGCACTGTTTTCATTCTTCGTCAAAAATCTTAAACTATGTATCATAGAAATAATTAAAAATATGTTTAAGCTTGTGCCAATGAAGCCCTTTCATACAGTACTCCACATGACACAGTTAACTCAATTTAAAATTTGGACTGTCGCGCCGTTCCATGCATAAAGTCACATTTTTTTTGTGATCTAATTACAAATGTATAGTTTTCAGATATTTCCCTATACTTGTAGCATAAGACGGTGTTATTTGCCATAGTTCTAGGCCAACGGAAAATACCCTATACCCTTTTCCTTGAGAGTGTCGAAATATAGTTTTTTTAAACGTCACAACAGTATTAATTTTTGCGACGGGATTGCCAATATAAAAAAATCATTTTAACGTCTAGACATAAAAGTAAAGCACTTTTACGCCTAGGTACAAAAGTACGAAAATATATTATTAAACTGACATAAAGTGTCAAATTCAACGAGCGTAACCATAGTTTCTCCATATATATTTAAATACAAGGTATGACTTTTACATCTTTATATGATATGGAACGTTTGAAATTGTTTAAAAAATTATTTGTGGCGTTTCAAAAAAAATAGTATGTTGTATTCGGAGTAAAAATTACTTTTTTCTACGACTAGCCTAGAAAATGCAGTTTGACACACGGAAACTCGATTTGAAATTGGCGTTTTGCAAACTGTCGTGTGATAAGGATTTAGCGCACGACATGTGCCAATTTTAACATTTTTAACATCCAATATTTAGCTGAAACGCCAAACGCAACGCAGCCACGAGAAAAGTGTCATCATTACATCGCAAATTATTCCACAAAACTGGCAAAAACTGAGTGAGTCTGCTGCTAATTTGTAGTCGTAGAAAAAATAGCGTAAAAAACTCGTTCGAAAACTTCTTTGTACACTCGTTCGAAACTGTCGAACTCGTGTGCAAAACGTCGTTTTCGAAACTCGTTGTTTAATATACTATTCGTACCTCGGCTGTATGTCAATAATCAAACGTATAGCCCCGCCTCAGGAACTGTCATTCTTACTCCTAATAAAACAATATAGTATTTTTTGCGGCATAAACGACCGCCGTTTATCTTTTTTTACCACGTGATCCCGAGATAAATAAGGATCTTGACTGATGAGCGACAGACTTATATTCATTAAGAGCGCGTAATTATAACAAAATAAAGACAAAAGAATTCAAATTCACGAGTGCACAGAAAACGAAAAAAAATGACCAGATAGGCGCGGATACTTTTGAACAATGTCTGTTTAGTAGATATGTGACATTGTATAACGATTAAGATATTCAACAAAGTTAAGTTATTTTGTTTTTACAGTTATATTTCCCTAACATTTTTTCAAATTGCGGGCGGAACACCCTAGTGCCTTAAAAACCCGGAAGTATGGAAACCCTAGTTAGAAATGACGATCTATGGCACTGACCATTTAAATTTGCAGATTTTATCGATCCGCATTCTTAACTTAAGGTACATTCTCCCTGCTGTACCTTCCGTATCTGCTGCATTCTGTTTCCCTTCCGTTTACATAACATATATCATGGAAATGAATAGGACAATGCACATTATCAGTTCCGTTTCCCTTCTGTTCCATATCCTTTCCTCCCATATATTTTTTTGGCGGACGGACTGAAGCGTATCGGCAACAGCGTTGTTAAGTTCTTAGATTTGTACCAGCTCTATTAACATTTTGCTGATATTTATTTATTCTTTCACCTCTTAATTAAATCTATTACCTTTTTCAAAAGATACAAATTTTTAAAATAAAACTTTCGTAATGATATAAATTGTACAATAAAATGTATGGAACTGATACGGAACGGAAGTTTACGTATAGCGTCAATACAATAAAAAGTACGGAAGGGATATGGAATGGAAACGGAAAGTATAGTGAGAATCAACCTTTAATTTGGTGCCGTTTTTTATTATATATGTTGGAAGCAGATGCCGAATTCGGCCTATGTCCGAAATAATTAGACATATGGCGATTATAATTAAATATACCTACCTATATCCACAAAGTTACGCGGAAGAGTTTTGATTGCATTGGTTTCAACTTCTATGCGAAGGGTGTTAATCTTTTGTTGTTATATTATACCAAAAAAATATTAACCCCCTCCGCAAAGAAGTTATATAAAGACTATTTATAACCACGAAGTTGCACGCATCTGGCAAGTTTAGTATGGACAAATCGCCATATGTCTAATTATTTCGGACATAGGCCGAATTCGGCATCTGCCTCCAACATATTTACACTTACCAGGATATTTTTCTTTCAGCACCGTATCCAAATCGGTTTCCGTAAAGTCCATGTTAGTTTCCAGTAGACCAACAAACGATTTTCTTTTGGACTCGTCGGGCTTTATTGGTTTAGGCGTAACAGGGGCGCTGCCTAACAGTTTAGGCGGCACATGGGTTTTGGGCGTGTCAAGCAGACCGGACTTTTTGACTCGATCCAAATTTTTGTTCTTTAGTATATCTGGCAATTTCTTATCTGGCGAAGCGCTGACTACTATCGGAGTCCTCTGGATTTCCACGGTAGGCGATCGAGGATCGATACCCAGCATTATGTGCGTTTTTAACGGGGTAAACATTTTTTCACATGTCAATGAATCTATTTCGGTTTCTTCCAAATTGAGTGTTTGAAGTTTCTCAGCGGCTGCGGATAAAAGCTAGAATTGAAAAGAAAAATAATTATAAATACAATTTTTGAAAAACTTCTTAACTCAATTAAGGAGTTTTTCTCATGCCTCGATCATATACACGGCGTTCCATATACGAACGCACAATGTATTGGGATCTTGTTAAAACAGAATAGATACAAAAATATAATAATAATAACTTATACAGGTGTTTCAAAATAGTTATCTCTGTGCCATCTCTCGTAGGGAGATATCTCAGGTAAAAATATATAAGATTTATTTTTCATATCAACATAGTTCCGATTCTGCTTTGTTTCTTAGGGCACAAACATAGTGAGGCATCTCGATGCGATGCTCGCCAAGATGCAGGCCGTGCTGCTCGCCAGGATGCTAGCCGCGATGCGTCCTACGCGCACTGTTTTAAAACGGCGAGTAAGTGCGCGTAGGATGCATCGCGACTATCGTACAAACATAGTGCGGGCCATTTCATCTCGACGCGATGCGCGCCATTTACCTCGCCATCCGGCGATGCTGGATCAAACATATACAAATTTATGCGTCAAAACATACTGGAGCCTCGCACCTCGCCTCGCCAACACCTATATGTTCAGCGCGATGCTTCCTAGGAAACAAAATTTTTGTTTTTTGCGAGAAGCGGACGCGGATGCCTGAAACTCTACATTTGATTGGTCGGTTTAGGATCACAATTCGTTGAGCATATGTCGAACTAGAGTCGGGTGGAATAAAATGTTCACAATACTAGTATTTAATTTATCACCAACAATGTAAACACCTTGATTCTACAGGGTACGGCAATAGTGCGTCGGGCATCTGCAGCTCCTATAATAAAAAACTTATGAATTTTGTAGTCCAGACATAAAGTATGTATTAGGATGTATTTGAGGAAAATATTTGAACTTCTAAAGGGTGTCTCAAAAAAGTGTGAGTGGATCGCGAATATTTTTTTAAATAGAACACCTATACAGGGTTGTTCGCCATATACGACACGGAATATTGTAGCTAAACGATTAGATTTTTACAAATTGTAAGTTTTGGGTTCGTTGAAGGACTATTAGAGCTACAATTTAAAAATATTTTTATAATATACAGAGTGTCCCAAGTAAATAAAAAATATTAAAGTTGTATTTTTTTAAATGGAACATCCTGTATATTATTACATTTTTAGTTTCTACGATTAAAATAAAGGTAAATGTGATTAAGGTTTATTACACTTAAACCTTACCGTTTTTGAAATATTTTCAATTTTGTGAAATTGCAGTATAAATTTTAAGGCTTCATTTCTCCGAGGGTATCAAAGTTCTTAATACTAAATATTTACTGAAGTTTATTTATTGATCAGTTATTGTGTTGCAATAATAAAAATGTTACTATCTTATACAGAGTGTCTAAATATTTATTTTAAATAATTATTAGCTTTAAACGGCAATAACTTGTTTAATTTAAATAGAAAACCCTGTATATTTCATGAGAATCAATGCACAATTTAATTGTCTATCAAATTGTATTATACCATTTTTTACCTATCTCTTCAAGTTTCCGTAGAAACTAAATTTTCTTGTAATTTAGAACTCATTTATCAATATACCCACGGAATACTGACATTTTAGATTATTTTTAAAGATGTACCAAATTTTTAAAGAGGTACACATACTATCATTGTCGATATAGTTCGTTTATTTCATTAAAAAATAAAAAAAATGTTTAAATATTTGTTAAAGAGGACCAATTAATATGATTCCAGTATTCAAACTACATTAATTGACTGTTTGCGTTGATTAATAATAATTGCTCCAAATACTAAAAAACTGAATTATGTATGTGTATTAGACAGTGTGGTAAAAAAACTAACACCTTAAAAATGATATTTCATTTATTATATTGTTATCTTATTATATTGATTTCTGATTCAAATCCACATTTATTTAGAATAATTTATTAACGAACACAATTAAGTATGTAATTAATTAGTATTTGGGCGGAAATACTGTGCTATATTTAATTAATGGTATACTCTTTTATAAAGATTTAAATAGTTTTACTAAAAACGATAATATTACTAGCCTGTACATTTTGGACATTTGTTGTTTTAAAAACAATCTAATATGTCAATCAATATTCCATGGGTATATTGATAAAGGAGGTCTAAATTATAAGAAAATGCATTTTCTACGAAAACTTGAAGGGATAGGTAAAAAGTGGTATAATACAATTTGATAGACAATTAAATTGTGCATCTGATTCTCATAAAATATACAGGATGTTTCATTTAAATTAAACAAGTTATTGCCGATTAAAGCTAGTCATTATTTAAAATACATTTTTAGACACTCTGTATAAGGTAATATAATTTTTATTATTGCAATACAATAACTGATCAATAAATAAACTTCAGTAAATATTTAGTATTAAAAACTTTGATACCCTCGGAGAAATGAAGCCTTAAAATTTATAGTGCAATTTCACAAAATTGAAAATATTTCAAAAACGCTATGGTTTAAGTGTAATAAACCTTAATCAAATTTATCTTTATTTTAATCGTAGAAACTAAAAATGCAATAATATACAGGATGTTCCATTTAAAAAAATACAACTTTGATATTTTTTATTTATTTGGGACACTCTGTATCTTGTAAAAATATTTTTAAATTGTAGCTCTAATAGTCCTTCAACGAACCCAAAACAATTTGTAAAAATCTAACCGTTTAGCTACAATACTCCGTGTCGTATGTGGTGAACAACCCTGTATACAGAGTGGCGCAACTCATTCGCCTCGGTTGATTATACGAAAACGGAAATATGCAGAAAAACATGTGCATAATTTAAAATTATTTTGAAATGTACAGGGTATGTCAGAACTAAGATTTACACCAAAGTTATATTTTTTCTTATGGAACACCCGGTATTTTATTTCATATTTGGATCCTTGGGCACAAAATAAGGCCTTTATTATAAGGGTTATTATATATGTATTAATATGTTTACAAGCTTTGGTTTTTGAGATATTTAAAGATATTTAAATATGCATGCTACAATGGAATAGCTTATCAACACCCTGTGCATTACTTTTTAGAATTAATTATTGTGCTGAGTTTAAAGACAGAGAAATAAACTTTACTGAAAAATTGTATTGCTCCCTTAAATTTATACAGGGGTACCAACAATTGATGATTTATTTTAAATATTTATTTTACATAAAAACCTTGTTATTTCAAATACGACAACCTGTATTTTTTAAAATAAATCGAAACAGATTCAAATGCTCTTTCAAACTATTATTAGGGTATTCTATACCTATCTAGCTCAGATTTTGAATAAAGAGCAATTTTTCAATAAAATGGCAACAAAGAGGGCTGATGTCGTCATAGCAAGTTTCTAGTGACAGTAGCTATTTTCAAAATCGAAATTAGTTTATGGACTTTATTTGTCTATAGCAAGTACTTTAATCGCTAGTTGATTAAAAAAAAGTATACCATTAATATTGCAAGTTATATTTTATCCTCTCGTAGTATATGTCTTTTTAATTTTTTGATGATGTAACGAGCACTTTGATTACTCACTTGCTTCGTCGAAATGTTTGAATCCATTTTTGCTTTTGATCAAATTGGTGTGAGAAACTATGAAGCTATAAAAATTTGTTTCGGGAATATCCGGGAAAATCCGGGAAAGTTGAGTTATTGAATGTATGTAATTGCACCCAACAACGCCCCAAGTACGCTCTCCTTTTACGCGTTAACATTTTTTCGCCAATTTTATTAACATTTGAAATTGTCACAACACAGCACGACGGCCGCCTAGTTCGAATTCTTTTTCATTTATTTTTTATTACCCGAAACAGCGTTACATCAGACAAACCTCGTACCTGAGTGTTTTATCTCTTTTTTGTCTCAATAACTGCACTAGCAAAAAACTAAAATACTTAAATATTATAACCAAACCACGATTTCAATATTATTCTATGCGATCAACATGACGGCGACGTGAAATAGGTAGGGATAATATCTGATTTTTGCCGTTGTAGCGCTGCGGTCGGAATTTGTTGAAATCAACTGAAATGCAACAAGGGCCTATACTAATTATTATTATATAAACTGGTGTTTAATAAAACGGCGATGGTAAATGCTTCAGTATGCCTACGCACACCTATTCGCCGTTTTAAAACAGTGCGCGTAGGATGCATCACTATGTTTGTGCCCTTAGCTACAGAGGGTGTTAAAGTACTCATTTTTTTTCAATTTATTATAATTTTCTTCCAAGTACTTGGAATGAAATGTTGGATTAAAAGCACAGGTAAAAGTTACTATACGTGCGACATATTTGAATGCTAAAAAAGTGTCGACGTATTTACCAGGGACGTGTATATAGGTTATCACTGGAATATTAAAAAATATGTGCGCAATTGACTTTTTTCACTTGTTAGCAAAATTGTGTAGGCCATTTCATGTCGATTAAAAGTTGTATCTTTATATTTTGTTGCTGTTGAACTCGTTGATGAGATTTTAGAGAGATGATTTTTTTATGAGAAAGCAATGCTATTAATCACAGTTAATAAACTTAAAATAAAAATAATAAATTATTTATTTAATCTAATTTACTATTGAATTTTATTAAAATTTATAACAATGATGGTTAGTGTAACCTACAGCAAATTCCAATAAAAAATAATGCTATTTAAGATAATTACAAAAGACCTATTTTATAGAAGTTTTTACACATTTTTTGATGAGTAATCAATGAGTACTTATTTAACACTTTGGCCAGTTAATCGTATTAAACATTTTTAAAGGTTGTTATGAGATTTGGATTAAGACAAACTAATAAAATATAAAATTGCGTTTATCTCATCAAGGGGACCAAAATCGACAAAATATCAAGACACAACTTTTAATTGATATTAAACGGTCAAACGGTCTACACAATTTTGCTAACAAGGAAAAAAAGTCAGTGGTGTTCATGTTTGTTTTAGAAAAATATCCAGTTACTGTTCAACATCTAGGAGTATAACATTTTATACAGGGTGGCGCCTCATACGCCGCGGAGGATCCAAGGAGAACGACAGTTCGTATTGAAATGAAATTTTGTGAGCATATGTAGGTTAATTCAAAGCACTTTTTAAAAATATAGAGTTCTACAGGGTGTCCCCAAAAATGTTACATATCAAAGTTGTGTTTTTTTGTAATGGAACACCCTGTATATTAATAGATTTTCGGATTTCTTAAAGAAAAATAAAGGTGAGTTTTATTAGAGAAGTATATGACTAAAATGTAAGGTTTTTGACATATTTAACATTTTCTAGAAATAAAAAGAACAATTTTTAAATTACAATAAAAGCTATCTAAATTGGAATTTACCCGGTATAGGCTAATATGTAATTAAATTAACTATTGTACTTTAAATCAAATTAAAACTTGATCCAAAAAGTTATACAGGGTGAGACAATATTAATATTGAACATTGTTCACCTTTAAAAGCATGTTACTCTTTTATTTTAAATGGAACGCCCAGTATATTATTCTGATATTCAATGGAGCATGTCTCTTCACAATACTATTAAGGTTGTCTACCCCTCAAACAAAGATTTTCTTGGATATTTTCATTTTTTACATGATTTGATCTGAGTAGATCTTTATTATTTGATAAAATCTAGGTGGCTGTGATGTATGACGTTACTTTAACATAGCTGTCTAATTAGTCCAACTTCAATAACTAGTTATCATTTTGTGTCAGTTAAAACAAAAAAAATTCTCAGAAATTTGCTAAAAATGCAAACATAGCTTTATATATAGAGAATTAATATGATTCAATATATTATATTGATATGATTATATATGAATGCAGTGTGAATTCACCAATTAATAGAATACTTAAATGCTCCTGATTTTATCTAGTCTGTTTTTTATGGGGATATGTTAAAGACAGTGTTTATAAAACTCGACCAACTATTGTCGACAACATGAGAGAAATTATTGTAGCTACTTTTCGAGGTAGAACTCCACACATGCCTTTTAAAATCAAAAGATCCTTTTGAAAAGACAATCATTTTATGCAGTTAACAGGAAAGGAAGCATTTTGCGCATTTGATTTCATCTAGCTAATTTTCGTCATATAATTATAGGTTCTCTACTTTTCTACATACTGATTTTTAGGGGTTGTTTTGGTATATTTTTACTTTTACAATAATTTCGTTATCACCAAATGCCTTTTATAGAAGACATACTTTGTATTTAAATGGTTGTAACTAAAAAAACTAAAAGTGTTTCATTTTTACACCACTTGACTCTACTATATAAATTTAAGTAGAGTAAAACATTTTTCAAAAGACAGATAACAAAAATTTGTAAAAAATAGGGTAATAAATAATAAAATCTATAATTTACTCCTATCGTTTTCAATTTTAACATAAAATTGAAAATAGTTCAAAAGCGCTTAAACCTGTCTTTAAGAAAAATCTTAAACACTTATAAAAAAATCTCGATCCTTATATGGAACTTAACATGTGAATATGTGAAATATTTTTAGATTTTAGATAACATATAAATTAAATGCAAATAGCTCATAAGACGTAAAACAATCAAAAATATTATAGATTATAGTATGGATTCTCTAAAATTCTTTCCTATTTACCTCTAATGCTCTTAAATTTAGTGTTGAAAACATTGACATTCATTTTTCAATAAGGTAAAAAAATAAGACAATTTGAATAACCACTACAGTTAGTTAAAGTTAATATTTATTATTCAGTTTTAAAAATAATAATATGCAGTTAGGTATTAACAAAGAATTTTGAAATTTTTTCCCTATCTAGAATATGTTTTATTTATTTATAGGGTAACGGTAAATTCTATTTTGCAATATAATTATCTGTTAATATGTTTCTGAATCAGAGTTAAATTATTAAAGTGAACTGGAGTTTATGAGATAATACATTTTTATATCATGTTTTATCTATACAAGTATATTTATATATGTATTTCTAGCTATCAGATTACGGTATTTTTCGGAGATAGCATCTTTGTGGCAAACAATTTATATCAATTATGTAACAAATAATTAAAAAAAATAAAAGAGAAAAGAACAATTTATAGGAATAAAAGAAATACATACACGTTATTTAAAAAGTATATTTTTGTAAATTGTACAAAAAATAAAAATACACAGTAAATAGTTATTTGATAACACCAACATTGTTCCAGTCGGCTATCATAGTTAAATTTACATTTTCAAATCGCCATTTTTGGGTTTTTGAATTTTCATCACAGGTAGTTACAAATAATTTAAGAGATCCAGGATCACAATCCAAACATCTTGGGTTTCCACCATGCAGAAACCACTGTTTTTCCACATCATATCTCCAATACTGATTTCCTTGCTGACCATGACAAGGATACAAAGTTATATCTGCCTTATCATTTGGATCAGAAACATCAAAACAGAGGGTTTTGCCTTTGACTCTAATATCCTTGTGCCAAGTAAGGGTAAAGTTTTGTTCACCTTTTTTATTGTTCTCTTTGATACAAGTGGCAATATTAACCACTTGATCTCTTTCTTTGTATCCAGAATCTACACACAGCTCTGGAACAGCCAAGTTCCTAATTTCTCCAAATCCAAAATCGTCAGGTTCTATTGGAGGGTACTTTAAGGGCAAATCAAATGCAACAGTTTCCATAAACCATTTAAACGGTTTGCAGTTCAGCTTTTTCCTAAGTCCTTTCTGCTTTGATAAATCTCCTGGGTTGATAGCTTTATAGTGTGGTCTTCTCATATAAAGATATTGTGCATATTCGTCCATCCAGACTTCAGCAACTCTTCTATAGTTTCTTCCTACAAAATCTCCTTTTCCTGGATTAGGAAATGGGGCATATTTCCTATATATATGACCGACCCTTGAACAAGGAGCATCATACATCTCTCCACCACATTGCCATATTTTAAAACTAAGTTCATACTGTTCTCCACCCCATATATCAAGGCCTTCATCATATCCTCCAAGTTCCCAGAAAAATTTGGCACTAATTGCAAACAGTCCCCCAGCCATTACGGGACTTTTAAAGGGTTCGGCAGGATGTTTTAAATCTTCAGGAAGTAATGGGAGTCTTTTATAAAAGAATTCCCAATCAAATGCTCCTCTTGCACCTTCATCTTGAGCACGATATTCAAATGTTTCATACTGAATAACGTCAATAAAAGGACATACACAGACTTTATAGTCTTGAGCAATCGGTTCTAGAAGGGGTGGAAGCCAATTTACATTACATTCTGTGTGTGAATCAAGAAATATTAATACATCTCCAGTTGCCACTTTGGCACCAGCTAATCTCGCTCTGATTAATCCACTTCTTTCTGGTAAATGGAGTGCAGTGACTTTAGTGAAATTAACAGCTAAATAGTCGTCGAGTGGCTTTTTGCTGAATTCCTTGGAACTGAAATCATCAACTAAAATAATTTCTTTCAAAAGTTCTGGTGGAGACCTCTTTATAACACTTGTAGCAGTTCTAAGTAATGTAGTCCAGTGTTCGTTATGAAATGGCACTATAACACTCACTGAAGGTAATTTTGACAAATATTTTTTAGCTTTGCATTGTTTATGTCTAATATCGGGTAGAGATCGATCCAATGCTATTTTATCACTTAGCGCAGCATTAAAACCATTCACTTTAAATAGGGCTTCGTAATTCTCATTCTCAGATGAAGTTAAATAAGCTGGGGCACCTTGTTCCCCTGTACCAGTGCGATTAGCATCTTTCCTAATAGTATCATAATTATGCCAATCTATTTTCTCATTATATGATGATACAGACTTCTTTACTGATATTTTTCTTTGAAGTTCAGCCGGCTCGGAATCTTTAATATTAGGAATATTCTCAAGTGTCTTATAAATTACTACTGTACACACTACTGTTATGCCAGAAATTAGGGAATATTTAAATAAAGTCTTGATATTTCTCCTCATCTTTGTGGCTCTTGCTTTTCAATTTAATATTTCACTATTCATGGTAAAATTTTTCACGTTAACAAGTACTATCATTCGTGTGTACATTTTATCTGATAATTAAAACCTTGAATAAATTCAAATAAGTCGCTAACCTCAAAATACTAAAAAAACAACTCTTGAAATAAGTTTTTAAATACTTGATAACAGTTGGTAATCTTAGAAAACGTTGCCATATCAGACATATTTCGGCGAGATTTCTTACTTTTTGTTTGAAAAATATCTTAATATATTTGAAAACCTCCATTTTTTATAATAATATTTCTTAGTATTGTCACAGTATAGAAATTTCAGTATTAAATTAAATACAATTTTTGATTAACCATAAAAATAAATGAATATCAAAATATTTCAGTGAATATATTGACAAGAATTGACAATAGCGCAAAGGTATGAAGTACTGTAACTCAGTTGTACCAATCGATAATTCTTTTAAAATGAATAACCAGTACAAGATGACCTTTAAAATGCAATTAATGAGTTAAACAATGTTTAGAACACTCCTTAACAAATTATTCTGTTACACCTTTAAACGGCGATTATTAAAGAAAAAAAAGTAATTTATACAGAGTCACAGTACATTTTTAATCCGTTTATGTGAATATAATTACGCTATTTGTCATTTGATTATAGGTATCCATTCTCTTGCTGGATGTTATTTCCAGAAATTGTTTTGAATTAAAAATTATATTTTTTATTATTTACCTCAATGGGAGTCCTAGCAACATTGCGACTGGGAGATCTTGGATCCAGACTAGCTTTGGTAATATTATCTCTAAAAACTTTTGGAGTCAATATCGGTGTCGAAGGGATACTTGTTTTTTCATATATCTCCACATCCTTAATCTCTGGTAATTTACTTTTATTTGCACCCATAATTAACGAATGCTAAAATATACACTATTATTATTTAAGATGTAAAAATTGTTATTTTAAATGCTATTTCAAACTGACATTTTCCCATGGAAACCGTTAAATTATGACAAGTGACAAGAATGACAAGACAACAACGGTTTTTAATTAAACTCTTCTTTTTTATAACTGGCAAATTGCCCAAGATAAGTAAAATCAGATAAGATGAATATTAATTTAAAATCATATCCGAATAGCCCTGGCAGCTCAGGCCGAAAAATTAAAGTACTACTTAAAATCATATATAAAAGATATGATTAAGTAGTCACTTTATATTCCTGGAAAGTAAAAATGAGTTTTTTTAGTCGGAAGCCCGCAAGGGATGCCCGTAGTATTTTATTTTTTTCTGAAGTAAAATAAAAATTATTAATGGATCGCAAAGGCCTGGCAGTTGTGGCCGAAAATTGCTCAAGGATAAAGTAGAACCTAACCCCAGATTTAGATGTCAGAAATCGTACTGTGCTCTTTGATTTTATGATTTTGTGATTAGGATTTACGATTGTGATTATTTGTTGTTTTGGTACATTTGATATAGTAGGACGAATAATTTTGTTTGTGTGTAAAGATGTCGAAAGATACCCACATTGATAGGGATTTAGATTTATCTAATGCAAATCGAGGTGTTTGGTTGGTTAAAGTGCCAAAATATGTTGCTAATCGTTGGGAAAAAGCCCCTAATGACATGGAAGTTGGCAAGCTAAAGATAACAAAGTGATTTTTCCTAAATCTATATATTTTTACAGATTTGAACATTTTCTATTGTTTTAGGCAACAGGGACAAAAACCACAGGTTTCATTAACATTATCCTCTGCAATTTTGAGTATTAGTGATGCAGCAAATGAAAATATACCAAAGGATCATCGGTTAGATGTTTCTACTGTTACTCAACAAACATTGGGAGTTTTTTCTCATGTTATACGTAAGTAGAAAATTACTTCTTTGAACTTTGCATTTAGTTATAGCGGAGTTGAACTTTTAGCAACAAATACTGATTCTGTAGTACCAGAGACAGAAAAACTATATATGGAAGGCAAAATCGTTCAAAAGTTGGAATGTAGACCTTATGCTGATAATTGTTATATGAAGCTTAAGTTAGACTCTATTAGAAAGGCCTCTCTGCCTGCTAGAAAAGTGAAACAGTTAGATAGAGTTGTTCAATCTTACAAACCTGTCTCAGATCATAAAAACAATGTATGTATATTGAAACTATTATGAATGACTGTTATTTTAAATACTATTAAATTTTAGATTGAGTATATGGAACGTAAGAAGGCTGAAGGTAAAAAGGCTCGTGATGATAAAGATGCCGTGTTGGAGATGCTTTATGCTGCATTTGAAAAGCATCAGTATTATAATATTAAGGATTTAGTTAAGATCACTAAGCAGCCAATAACTTATTTAAAAGAAATTTTAAAGGAAGTTTGTAATTATAATTTAAAAAACCCTCACAAAAATATGTGGGAGCTTAAACCGGAATATAGACATTATAAACAACCAGAAAGCGAGGCGAAAAAAGAAGATTCAGATGATGACTAGAGATTGTCATTAAATTATTGAGACAATTATAAATTTGAAATATTTGTACTATAAAGAAATGTTTTATATTTATTTATAAGAAATATATCTAGGCTAGAAGGCAGATCACATGATATTTATATAAATAAATTATTCACCCTTTTTAAATTTATTTTAAATAAATAATCTAAATTATTCACTCTTGGTAAAACGTTGCTATATAGCATTAGATCTACAATGGCAGGTCCCCATTTTCAGGTCTTTTCAGACTACATATTATGGGTCATACGTGGTCATACACATGAAGAGCAAAGTTACTAACACTTTGTCCATTTTTTTAAATTTTCAGGCAACGGTGGCATTGCAAACTACATACACAGAGTTATAATATGATGCCAGAAACGACGTGTTAAATACATTACTATTTCCATTAGAATTAAATTGAGAAAACACCTTAGACTTTCTATGTGTTGTATGTCCATTGGCATGTAGTAGGTGTACTATTTTTATAATTTTTTCCCAATTTTGCAAGTATACTAGTTTTTCGGTAACTTTCTTGCAAAAAGCGTGGCTGTTTTTCTTTGTTTGGCAAAATTGGACAAAAGGCATCTAGAAAGTCTGCTCCTTACATGTTTAATATTTTTTTGTCAAAATTTCTTAATTTTTTAGAATGTGTGACATTCATATTAAAAATTTATTACTAAGAAGATTTTGAACCGAGAGAATCTATAAACTGTAATACTGTAATGTGTAATGTAACTTATATAAGTTGGCTAGAATCTGAAAAAAGTTGAAAGTTTTAAGTTTATATGTAAAATAAAATGAGCAAAATTTGCCTTTAAACAATTTTCTTTGGAACAAGGATACACAAATGCCAAAATTAATAGATCTTTCTATGTTTACGAAATATCAGAAGGAAATAGACCTGTGGAAAATATCTATTCTTTTGAGTGGAATATGATCATCTATGTTTATTATTTCTATAGTATGGCTATTTTTGAATAGGCAACCAAATATATACAAAATTAATTTAAAATGTTATATCATCATAAAATTGTTAACTTTTATGGATATTATTATTATCTTAAAAGTGCTATATTTTTTAAGATTAGAAATTATATAACTTTAGCGTTTTTGCTTTTCTATAAATTAAAGAATAATAAAATTACAATATGATTGAAATTTGAAATACCATAATAATGACATTTCCAACATCAGGCCCATTAGCTCAGTTGGTTAGAGCGTCGTGCTAATAACGCGAAGGTCGTGGGTTCGATCCCCCCATGGGCCATAACTTTTTAGTTTTTTTTTTGAAAAAATTATGACTTTTTTAAAAAAGATAAAAAATTATGACATTGTATGTAAAAAACTCCATGTAGTACAAGATCGAGAGCGATACAGAAAGATCGTGAACATGGCAGTCGTCCAACAGTCGTCGTCGTCAACGTTCGTTTAGGAACATATGACACTTGAAGAAGATAGAAATGTGAAATTTCGATAATTTTCAAATAAACATCCCGCAAATTTTCTGGTTTGCTCAAATCACCAAACTTGCTATCACCATACTTTATTGCTATCACCACCACTTGAGTTGCGGTCTGTGGTTGCGGTGACTGATTATTAATTGCAACTGCGTACTATCGCCGTGAATCACCCTATATACATATATGTACATATTATGTGTGTATGTATAATTTATATACATATAAGAATATTTTTTTATTTTTTTTTGCAAAATATTTTAATTTTGCTATTTATTTTTTTTATTCGCCATTTTGTCAAGTAACAATATAATGAACTATCATCTAAATTCTTATAAGTTAATAGAAGAGTGAAGGGTTAATAGTAATAACTTTAGAAATAAAACATATAAAAAAAAATTAATAAAATAAGTTAAAATTTATTCCTTTTCGGTGCACTCGTGGATGTGAATTATCATTCTTTGTTTTGTTATGATTACGTGCTGTTGATTATAAGTCTGTCCCTTTCTGTCCAACTATAGGGTTACCAGAGTTCTCTAGACGGAAAAGAGAACAAAAACATAACTAATTTTCTCATGCATTACTTTGCTAAAAGAAACTCTATAATAAAGTATATAGAAGCATACCTAAGTTCTTCAACAAAAATAAGGTATAGAAAATAACAAACTATAATTAAAACTAAAGTTGTCATATAGCATTGTGCTATAAATTATAATACTAGATAATAAAAAGAAAACAAAAATACTTAAAAGTACTAACACTAACATACAAAATTATTTTAAACATACAAAAATACTTTTAATTACATGAGGTAAACAAAATATAGTATCATTATTTAACAAGCTACATATTATAATGATGTCGAAGTAGAATGTGCCCTTGCTTCAATTTCAACCATTTCATGTTTTACCGATCCACTAAATTTTTTCAGTAAATCTTTTTTTGTTATCAAATAACCATAATATAACCGGTAAATTATTTTAAAATAAACTGTGTTTCCAATATCGCCTTAACAGACGATGCGGCGTGTTATAGAATGATCATTCGTTGCAGTGATTTATTGATATATCAGTAGATATATCACAATCACAATTGAAGGGTCCAGGGGAAACATTTGATAAGCGCCAATTTCTTAATATTGCGGGATTTTACAATATTTCAGTAGGTCTAACTGATCCCTACAAAATGTGTAAATATTGCAGAGCAATAACTTGTTAAATCCTATGATATATATGCCTAGTAAAAATATAGGGTATAGGATACACGGAGAGGACCTGAAAACTACCCTAACTAGCATTTATAGTGGCAGATATGTAACTGCTACAGCTACTATCAAAGCCACTACAAAGTGGACGGTGACCATCGGCGCCTACGTCGTATATTCGTAGCTGCTAAGTAACTGCGACCAAAATGGGGAAAGATTTTGAGTAGCCGGGTAGTGTCTTGGGTAGTTTTTGCCACTAAAAGAGTTACTATGAAGTGTTACTATAAAGTAGCCTACTGGTGAATGCGACTTATCTGTTACGAAGCTGCCTAGTCGCGGGTTCGTGGCAGTCAAGTGTTATCCACCGACATGTGGAACTTTCGTTAAACTGTTAAACTTTATTCGCAGCGACCTCTTCATGCAATTTCACATTTCATAAAAATAAATGTTATGATGGAAGTTATCAAATTTCCCCATAATTATGGAAGTCATTATTATTTTTTCGTTATTTACCGTGCGATTTTAACGCCTTTTTTAGGTAAATTCCAGAACGCAATCGACTTTACTGAATAAAATGTTTATATGACAACATTTTCGAGCGCCTCTCAAAATATTTCAAATTATTATATTATTTGGAATAGAAACTCATGTAGTAATTAAAAAATAATAATAATTTTCTTGAAACTTGGGTTAAACTTTAAAATATTAGTCCACCGTCAGAAATAAAAAAATAACTAAGGAAAAAAGCTTTAATCTATAATAAGTATATTTAGCTTGAAAACGCATAATATTTGAGCCATTTGGCTGTTCGTCTAAAAAGTCATGAAAAAAATTTAACCGTTTAATTCGAAAAATAATTTATAGTTCTATATATCAAAATAAAATTACACTAAATCACCACAATACACCAAAACACTTTTACTTTTACACTGGACGCGCGTTTCGCTAACCATGTTAGCATCATCAGCAGATGATTATAAACTGCTTTTTTTTTAAATTCAGTTTATAATCATCTGCCGATGATGCTAACATGGTTAGCGAAACGCGCGTCCAGTGTAAAAGTAAAAGTGTTTTGGTGTATTGTGGTGATTTAGGGTAATTTTATTTTGCTGTGGAACACCAAAGGTTCCAACCCTCAACTGTAAAGTTCTATATATGCTTCCACAGAATACCGGGAACAATAACATATTCTGTACAGGTATTCTTTGTTTAGACAAACTACATAAATAAATTCATAATTTATTTTTCGTCCAAAATCCGAATTCTGTTTGGATTCTACAAAGCCCATTTGTCCCGAATTTTCAAAAATTTGTATGGAAACCATACATTACGGATATTATACGGTATAAGTTGCATCACACTCACATGGATTTTTGTAAATGCAGTTGCGGCTGATCTGTGTGTTTTTCAGTTTGATTTGCTTAAGAGACTATTACGCTGTACCGTTCGCGTTGCTCTAATTGGTCGGGTAAAGAGGGTGTGTGGCCTAAGGAAATATATATTATATTGCAGAAATCTGCCTAGGCTTAGCCCGATCCTGTCGTGTTAAGCCACATCCAAAATTACAAACACACGTGCTTTGATTAAGGTTTGCAGAGCTTCAGTATTTGCCATAAAAGAGCGAGCAATTTGTTACAAAACCATATACATTATATATCACTGTATTCACAAAACGTCAATCTATTTCCGTATTGTAACGGAATTTTAAATTATGTCTTTATTTTCGAGAAAATTTAGTCCAAAGATAAGGAATATTTTGTTGATGTTTGACCATCAAAATCTTAAACATAAAGAAGTTGTCTAAAAATGTGCTTCAATACGCGGATATAATAATAATCCTCTATCTTTAATTTCCTTCTTCATTTGTGTAAAAATACCTAGCCAGTTTTACAAAAAACGATAAATGCCAAACGCTTATTTTGCTACTTTTTCGGACTAGTGAAATGCTGGACTCTTAAGGCAGATCCTTAGTGTTGTCGAAGCCGTGAAAAACTGTTTTAATTTTGTACAGGGCGAGTCAACGATAGAGTAAAGTCCATAATCTCATTTGCTTCGAGGTTTACAAAAAAAATTTGAAATATAATTGTAGGGAAGGTTAAGATACACATTTTAAAATTGTTATAGAGTATACAAAGTGCTTCAAAAAAGGGTGGCGGATATAACATATGTTTTTTTTTAAATGCAACACCCTATTTTTTATTTTATTTTTAGATTCTGCGTAAAATTCCATAACTTTTTTTATATATAATGTTATATACGTAAAATTAATAGTCTTTGTAATATTTCCATTTGTTTAAACAAATGTTAAATTGCAGTGTGCTAAAAAATTGTCAGTGGTGCCATTGTTTCTGAAGTTGGAGTACCAAAATTTGGTAGGAGAGTTTTATAGAGATGAAAAAAAAGATATATGTATATATATAAAGATATTTTAGTTAAATAATACAGAGAATACTTAAAATTAAAAAATCTCAAATAT